AACTCGTAAAAATACTCAGCGATACTACACAACAAAACGTCTAATAAGATATATGTATTCTATACTTTCCGAGTATTTGCTTCTGAATTTCAAAACTCGTCCTGAAACTCATTAATTATCGATGCAGACAACAGCCAATGAATGACGACCATTGGGGTCAAGTGGATGAATCTTGATACCCAAGTGAAACACTAGCAGGTTTTCAACTGAGATGAAACATGTTTTTCATCTAAGATCAAACACTTACATTCTAATGAGATGTTTTACTGATTAATTCAACTCATGGAAACAATTCAGTTCCTCTCATTAACAACAATCCATCAAGTCCAGTTCTTTTTCAAATCAAGTTATCTTCTATACCAGCATGAAACAAAGAAAGTGCACAAGTAATGCGAAGACAATGACTAGTCGTTCGGTTTACAACTCCAACCTGTACACTTTAGGCAAAATATCATTTAGTTTGTTTACACCCACAAGAGCTTTTTCAAAACTAAACTTGGACTTAGATGGTTGAAAGTAGAATGCGTTACAATCCTTGGCAATAGTTTATATTAATCCAATATATGATTTGTATATTTCCACAAGATATTATTCATGCATCTCTCCCTTAAGATGAAAAATTCGTTTAACAACCTTGAGAGTATGCTTGAGGTCGGCGGTAAGCCCTCATGAAACGATTCACATAACTTTCCTCAAACTTCACAAAATCAAATGTTACTTCAAAATTATTCAGTAGCGGACTTCTGTGCTCATCTCCTCTCAATTCAAACACTTTACCATTATAAAAATATACAGTGTTCAATGAAGACTTAGCTGTTGACATTCCAAACACATTAAATTCGAGAATAATTCCTCCTCTTCCACTGTGACAGAACCTTTCTTCTTTTTCTTTGTCTTTAAATGTAAGCCTTCGCATGTGGCATCTTTCAATTTTGCATCTAACGCTCGACGAAATAGGGTGAACCTGTAAACGCCACAATGAGCATTATTTTAAGATGGATAACTCTACATTTTAATCGCACAAATAATAGCTGTTCAGCTCACCTTTAATCGCTATTTTCGAGAGGATCTAGGTTTTTTCCCTTAAGATGATACCGGCTACCACACACTATCCCGTGGATAGTTTTCGCAGGATATCTCTTGTCGGTCTTCTTCGCCACTGAAATAACGTATTTGCTTAACCAGGGATTTAGACTCAACGCGTCCATATCTTCGATAACTGAAGAATGCATCACGACCTTACGTAAGTCATAGTCCTTAAAAAGGGGCTCATCCTCGGAGTAAAAACCTGTAAAGCTCACGAGTGACGTAAAAGAAAGACAACAAAACATTCTAAACAATAGCGTACAGCAAAACAATACCTCGTGAAACAAAGAAAACCTCGTCAGGTTTTTACACCGAGGATGACCCTGAAAACGCCTCCTACATCTAACACGGGCGCTTGAATCATCCAAGCAACCGACAGCGCCCATTTGCTGATGTTGTTGATGAGAGGATAGCTTTCTCCACTAACTATTCTTCCTCTTTGCATAAGGTTTCGGCTCTCTGAACCTTACAGACGACGCCCTTCTTCACTCATGGTCGGACGCCAACAGCACAACAATTATTAGTTATGCATGTAAACGTGTTCTTTCGGTGAAGGAAAAAATGCAACACTGCATAATTTATCATTGTTTGATTTGAGAAAACATGGCACAATTTCTTATAGTTCATTTGAGAAGATATGTCAAGAACTCGGGCTTCGTGCTTCCTTACGGGTTCCAAATACTTCGAAACGATAAAAACACTCACCTTACGGCCTCGTGCTTTTATCTGTTTCTCAGTGTTTGGAATCCGCGATGAAGCTCTGGCCCCCGTTTTGACGTATTACTTCGAAGCACTTACCACAAGATATATTCGCGCACAAAATTAGCAGTGTGAAGATACAAGAAGAGGACTTCATATTTCTTTTTGTACGCACTTGAAGCTGAAACTTTGAGGAAATAAAATTGCGTCAGGCTTATTGAAACATACTGAACTTTCGCAGCTTCGGAGAATGGAGAATGGTAATCCAATCATAGAAACCTCTACCGGTAGTAAAAATCGTCGCTAAACGATCAAATACAATTGAAACTTACTATCTTAAATGGATGTGAAGTGTTATGTAAAGTATTTAAGGTGGGAAAAATTGAAACAGACATCGGCTGTTTTCAAACTAGAAGAGCAATAATACATGTTTACGCCTGAAAACCCAATTCCTTGCCCCCTCCTCCTACCCCTGCCCCTTAAGCCGCGCCTTTAATGTGACTGATGAATTTTAAGACGAAAGTATTCCAAACACAACCAAATGAAAACAACAGATTGGCAGAGATTCATAAACGTTTTAGTGCAAACGAGACTTGGGGCAAGTTTTCCGCAGTAGTTAAGTCATCGTGCACGAAAGCTTTTCTCTACTTGTCGCCGCTGTAAACCGCATGAAGCGTTGCGGTTGCCACTACTATTGGCATGATCCCCTCAGGACTCGTGCGACCAAATGAGCCCCTGTCTAACGATAGTAGACCCCTCAATCCTTTAGTAGTAACCGTAGAACGTCATACTAGCCAGTATGAAACCTTCCGTGAAATTCAAGGTTCGATATTGCTCATGTGTGCTTACAGTCTTTATACATTTCGGCTCTTGTTTCCCAATTTTTTTAAACGAATCGTCTTTAAGAAAGACACCTTATAACTTATTCTACCAACAGAAGTTTGATTTAAGCCCACTAAAGTTTAGTTGGACTTCGTGGCCTTACTCCAAGAATCATATTTACATAATTGTGTTATGCCGTATCGGAATAAACGTATGCAATTGGCAAAAGCAAAATTATGCTTTTGGACGTTCCCTCTTTATCGGAATAAAGATAATCTAATGCTATTGCTGAGATGCACATACGTCAATGAAATATGAACATCATAATATAGAATGCGACATTACTATCTTTCAATTTCACGATGCAAAATCCAGGTCGAAAATACTTCAGTAGGAGGATTACCACGATTAGGGTGTTGATACGTATTCAAATTATGGTATAACTACTTGGATGATGATAATTCAAATAACTTTCAAAACCTCAAGCGGAAAGAATTTTTGGCCAAGGCCAGCTTAGTTGAACATGTTGAGAAATGCAGTGATATAAAATTTGTTACCTTGATATAAATCTTTGTAAACTCATTTTGAGATTATTTAACCGAAGGATTTAAATTATTTCAAATTACAAATCAGTTCTGGATAAAATGTGAATTTGTAAACGCAACAGTACATTGAACGGCTAGAGGAAGTCAGCTTCACTGAAATGAAAGAGAAGCCACTGAATATAAAACTTAAAGTTGACTTAAGTTGCACAGTTTTTGGGGCCAGTGAACTTCAACAGAGAGAGCGTTCCGAAACAAGTTTTCAGATTATAATCATCAACCAAATCGTACTGTTTCTTCTGTTTTAACCTTTGAGACATTAAAATGCTATTTAAGTTCTATCCTTTCAATGATAATTTGTTGCGGTTTGAGCAAATGTCGCTATTGTTCTTCATCCAGCCGCCACTGAGAAAAATTAGCATTATTTTAGAGACTAAGCTTAAGGCACAGATCTACGAGTTTCCCGATCGACTCCTAAAACTGTTTTAAATCAGAGTTAACCGCTCTGTTTAAATAGACTAGCACTTTGATCAGAAATCATTCAAACTAGATTTGAAATCCAAAGGGAGCGTTTAGTATACTGAAAATACTGAAATCATCAGAATAACCAGATAAAAACAAGAATTTGGCAAAGATTCATGGACAATTCTGAGAAAACGAAGCCTGGGGGTGAATTTGCAGTAATTGACGTCATCATGCATCAGAGCGTTTCTGTTTGTGTCACTATCTTGAATCGTAGGACATGTTCTAACAATCTGCATGATCCCTGGGGACTCATGCGAGGAAAAGTGCTCTTATCTGACGATGATAGCGATAACCGCATAACGTCATAATAAAACCAGCGCCTTCCGGGAAATTCAAGCATTAAAACATTAATATTGCTCGTGTTTGCTTGTAGTTTTCCGAAATTTCGACTCCTGTCTCCCAATTTTACAAACGAGTCGTCATTATAGAAGACTTCTTAACGAAAAATTGTTCTATCATTGGAGATTACCTTAAGCCACGAAAGTTTGGTCGGACGGCATGGCCGTACTCTAAGGCTTGTATTTACGTAATCATGTTAAACCGCGTAGAACAGACGCATGCAATTGGCAAAATTATAGTAATTGAAGATCTTCCGTTTATTCAAGTAAGTTAAGAAAATTCAAGTTTTGAGTTTAAGCTTTTAAACTATAAGTCATTTTTTCGCTTAAAAGCAAAATAAATTCACTTTTGGAATCACGAGGCAAATTCCTTAAGAATTCTAATGCGCTGGCTTCAAAAGGCGTTCTCCGCAAAAATTTCGAGTATTTCATCGTCTAATGGATGCAAGTTGAAAGAGCCATACATCATAGGTGCTTTTACTGAACATTTTACATCAAATCGAAAAACTCGAGAAATTTCGAAAAACCTAATCTACTTTCTGTTTGAAAGACGATATAATGAAATCCAAACAAAACTCTGACCTATTACCCATTATAATCGACTTTCACGTTATTAGTCCTTTGGTGTCTTCTGTCGAAAATCCGCACTCAACCATAACAGTTTTTCAATCAAACTTTGACAAAAACAAAGAAATTTCCGCAATGAAGATTTTGCAAATTATATTGAAAGCTAAAACCAAGAGCAAGATTGTTTATAAAACGTCTATAGCGGAAGAAATTCATGCAGAAGTTTAGAGTTTGTCTTGCAAGTTACTGCAGAAGCTTGTGGTCCCCTCTATGAACTACTATCGCCATAGCTCTCCCATCAGCCGACAGACAAACAGGCATCATTGACAAAAGCTTTTGCACAGACCTGCCTGTTTCCCGATTGACTCTTAATACTGTGTTAAAGAAACTTATTATAATGAGAAACCATACAAAATAAATTTGAAATCCACGGGGCACCATTTCAATTTGAATTTGACGAATTTATGCCGCCCTCGGTGTTTGTTGCTCGGCAATCCTCGCTATGCTTTTCAGTATCTACTACTTATCTGAACCACGAACTTGATAGAATCATGTCTACACAGCTAGTCCTCATCTCAATATTGGTATCGATGTAGAAACTCATGGAAAAAGGAACATAAATTCACCTTTTCCTTTTTAGAGACTGCAATCTTGTTCCGACAGCTTTTCTGCGATATGCGTGGGGATGGCTCCAACGTCAATGAACTATTGTCATTTATTAAAAACTGGATCATTGGATAATGCAATTCAAGACTTTTTATTGGCTTAGCTATTATGGTATATGAGCCAATATACCATAATCTACAAATATGGTAAGCGTACGCGTCGGTTTAAAATTAAAAGGGAGCTAAAAAAATTAAGGTTTGGCAAGATTTGTCTAATATCTTGGGGACGTTTTTAATAAAACAATTATTCCACTCGCGCTTGTTGGATATGAGATGATTATAGCCAACTCGGCGCTACGCGCCTCGTTGGCTATCTATCATCTCATATCCAACGCGCGCTCGTGGAATAATTTTTAACTATTCATGTCTTTGGCTACTTTATTGCTCTTGATATCAGAGGAGCGATCTTTAAATACAATTTTGCCTTCTAACCACTAGGATTATAGCCATCTTGACTAAAGATCAAGCGTGGTAAATGCGGGGTACATGCTTACACTTGCAAATCAAGCGCTACACTCCATTGACCGCTGGAAGGTGATTTGATATTCAAATTCAATCCTGGCTCTTCGATGGAAAAAAAAAAAAACTAAACTATTTTCTCGCAATGGTCTAACAGAAACTTGGCTTCACGATAAGGAATAGGCCTCCTGCAAACTCTAAACGCCCCCATAATATCATCGTTATCATTCGCAAACTAGCTACACGGGAGGTGGCACCGGAGTGCTTCTCAGATAAACTCTCATCCAAGTATTTAAGTGCTGACCTTCAATCATTCGAGTACTCTGCAAGGAATATCAAATCTAGTGCGCAGTAAATTCAATTGATAATTAATTACAGACCACCATACTCTGAATTCAATCCTGTTGCACCAGTTCTTTCCACTCAGTTTAGTAGTAGCCTTTACTTATTGTTACTTCAAGCCCTAAGGCAGTTTCCAAGCTGGGGAATGTCATTTTTAAAAGCTCTACAGGGTTGATCAACTCCTCTCGCTGTCGGTTTTCTTTGTTTCCTGCTAACCAAATCGTTTTCGTTGGACGTTTAGTATCTTGGCGAATAATTTTTCGATCCTTTCACTGAATTATGTTTGCCGGTAAGAAGGGACACTGGCTGAACCGCTATTACCACTACGCTTGCCGTTCCATATTGATGGTTGTCATTTTTGAAAGCCGTATTATTTTGATAGCTAATTGTACCTTGTTAATGCAAGTTTAATAGTGCATATTTTATTTTTTAACGTTTTCCTTTCGTTCCTCCCTTTTTGACACAGACAACAGTTTTTACTAGTCAGCGTGAAGGATCTTCTTATTTTGAAGACCTAAGGCAGGCTCCGAAGAAATGCAGGAAAGAGATTTAAGGTCTATGGTCTATCTGCGAACTGCGTCTCCTTTACCCATTGCTCGCATAGTCGCGCATCTTTTAGGAGAGATTAATAAAGTTGCAAGGAAGGTAGCAGTGAGATGTCTCCAAGGATATCTGTACTCTTCAAGGTATTTTTTAAAGGTCTGGAAACTAGGTGGCGGGGGGTTTGTAGGAATTATCACAATTTCTAGCTGTATTAATCGCTTCACTTTGTTTGAACTGAAATGCAAAATAACAGTCGGTTTGGGTCACCTGATTATCCAACCATAGACCACTTTCATTAGCCCTTCTGGCCTCGCTTGAGATAATGTATTCTTTTGAATTTTGTACTGGAGAACGAGGTCAGAAGGGCTAATTTAAACAAAAGAATATTAATCCGGCAGCCATTTATGAAAGTGGTCTATGAAGGTGTGCGGTTTTGTATTTGCTGTAGTGAAGAAGAAAACAATTTACGTCCCTTTGAGCATAGTTAATAGAGGGGACTTTCTGTATCCCAATTAAAATCAACTAAGAAATACAAACATTTTGTGGGTTCGGCATTTGCGGCCAAAGAACTTTTAGGATCTTGTTTTTGGCCTGCCACTTCTATTCAAGAATTAAGAACAATTTAAAGTAGAATGCTGTCGTGATTGTAATAAATTATAAGACAAACTCTTTCCGTTTGTTCCTCGTTTTTTTTTTTATTTCAGAATTGAACCTTATTTCCCCTCTCATAAACACGTCCAGTTCAGATTAACCCTTAAATGATTTTACACCCCTAACCCAACAAGATTTTCAGTTTATTCGGAAAGAACTACTTATTCCATCCCATCCTTTTTGTGGATTGCTGCATTTCTGCTTTGAACCTTTCTTTACAGCCTAAGGAAAAGATAAGAAAATATAGATTAAAGAAAATCCCATTTATCATGTAAACAAGAGATATTTTATGTTCATGGTTGCTGGATAAAGGACCTTAATTCCGTAATAATTCGATTTAGCACCCTCGTTCCAATAAGAGCGCCCTCTCTAATAGGCGCCCTCCCTTCGAATGAGTTTTTTTTTCCAATAAGTGCCTCGAGAAAGCATCCTCATTCCAAGTAGTGCACTTATCACAATAAGCGCCCTCCTTCCAAAAAGCACCTCTATAATGTCACAGTGATACAGTGTACCTTGAGATCAATCTTGGTTCATCTTCTTTCAATTGCACACTTAAAGCATCATCACAGAAACAGCGGTCTTGATCTCAATCTCTCAACAATTATGTCCACTGACGTGAGCGCATAGATCCTTCAAACGAATGCTCTCATCTCCAAAATTTGCGACGACTGTTTGGCTGGTCGTTCCAGCCAGGAAGGTTCATAAGGATCCAGGGACATCGGATCAGTTTTTGAATTCTTGTTTATCCTTCTTAAATAAATGTCAAAACTTTGTTTCGCACATTTTGCCTTTAATTTCTCGAAAAAAAAATAACGCCATCTGTAATAAGCACGCACTCTTGAGGTTCCAAACGTAAATAAGCGCCCCGGACGCTAAATCGAATAAGTGCAGTAATTTAAGAATATTGTTCGTGTTAATATTCTGCTACTGTCCCGTTTATTTTAGTTTCGCCACTTAATTTCATCTCACTCGTGACTTGCTCTATATTGTTAATGTGTTCTGTTAATATTTCCTTTTAATTGGTATCCAAAGACTTTGGTGATATCAGTCTTGTAATCAGTGGACTTGAGTACCCAAGACCAAGGGTTCAGTTTTTTCCCATAAGGACCGACCTAGACTAGTAAATAACTGCTCTATTTTTTCTCTGTTGGTCTCCCTTTTCCGTTTTACCGTGAATGGTATGGAAAATACTTTGTTCTGTGGTCCGTATCATAAAAAAACTGGACCAATTACTTGGACACGATCAGCCAAACAGATCTGAGGATTTTAAAAGTTTCCGACCCGCTGAGATGCTTCAGTGAAAACAAATAGTTGTGATTTATGTTGTTCTTGCTTTTATTCATTGTTCTACTTTTAGCACCGAAAATTAACAGTGAAGAGAATGTGAGCAAGGGAGTTACCTGGTGTAAACAAAGTTGGCGAGTTTCATCCCAACACCATGACCGTTGTCATTTATTTCGCATTTGGATGATACCCCGTACTTATCAAAATCCTGCACTTTTCCATCGCTTGTTGTGAAACATCTGTTCCTGCTCTGCGCAACAGATTAAAATGGTTGGGAATCAATTTTGCAGTCTACCCTTGTGAGTTACCCTGAGAAAAATCGTTTCTGCAATGAAAGCGAGCACAACAAGCCAAGAGAAACAAAAGTGTGCTGCAATACTTATGGTTATGCTATAAACAAACAAGTGTTTCTGTCGAAGTTATGGGACATCAGACACTTCTTGATGGGAAACTACTGTGAAGCGTCAATCATCATTTTTTCGTGTCATCACTTGTTATGTCTTGGTACAATCATAAAGTTTGTGGAGGAATGTTCTAGTACAATCCAGAACGTTTCGTTGTTTACCTTGATATGTCTAAGTCGCACAACCACTCATGCACCGCGATCTACTAATGAACATGATATAATCACTTAGAATTTTCCGGACTGTTGCGCCTGTTCATATCAGTAGACCTTGAAGCCAACTCTCTCTGTAGTGATCTGGCACAATTCAAAACCCACTCGATATTTAAGTCAATCTTGAATAAATTAAACTTTACTTACTTTCAGCTTTGAAACACGAGCAAATTAAAACAACTTGTTAGTGTCTCAGTAAAACTCATAATCAAGTGTGTGAACTCAGGAACCTAAACAAACCTTACGCGATTCCTGATGAGTGATGACGATTTGAAAGACTTTTATCAAAATATCTTCTTAAGTTATAGAAAGGGAAATAAAATGTATTGGGAAGTATTGGAACAAAGAAAGGCTAAGCTTAAGAAAATTTTTGTACTCACTCGAATACCAAAAATCTTGAAACCTTTCTTCTCTGCTGCAACTTTGCACTTATCAAGTACGTCATCGATGTTTAGTTTCTTTCCCCGGACGGTAGCAAATTTATATCTGAGAGCCCTTGTAGTTTTCCTCTTATGCTCCTTGAAACATCCAGCAGATTTCCAATCAACTGCAACAAAGGAAGTTAGAACTCAATGGGCTAAAATGTTAAATTAGAGTTTGGTGGAACAAACAAACAAAATGAATGAAAATATCTGCCCAGTGTCCATGTTTGGCTATACATTCAAAAATTTCACCAAAGGTTTCGGTAGAAACATAAAGGACTGAAACAAACTAATCCTGCTGAATCTTTAATTTTTGTGGGGAAAGCTTGAAATCCTACTCTACAAACAAACTGGATGAACATTTCACGGTCAGAAGTTAAGAAGGTTTGATGTGTTGTGAAAAGGTATCCGAGGTTTTTCAGCCAAGGATTTCCAAATTAATTCAGCAGTTCTTAAAATAAGGAAAGAATTTGTCGGCATCTAGTCTGCTTAGGTGAGAGAAGTTTTTAGGGTTAACAAGTGTCGTGTGAGCAGCACTGTTTTGTTTAATGTATGCTCCCTGTTTTATTTTTATGCTCAGACTTGATGAACCAGATGTATCTCCGTAATCCAGATATTCCTTCAACTACTACTCTCCTGGTACCGATGGGTTTTGACTCATCAGCACTGCTTAAGCCCTCCGGTGGGTTGCACATACTTAGTTAAGTTTGTGTAGAAAGCTATGGCGTTCAGTGAAGCACTATATGGATGTGATCATCATGAAATCACGACGTTTTTGTTCACCAACATTTTCTTTTAAGCTGTGAGTTCGTATTTATTTTAACTAACATTTTCTTTTAAGCAACAAAACATTTTTCTTTTAACCAATATTTTCTTTTAAGCTGTGAGTTCGTATTTATTTTAACTCATTACCTTCTTCACAGTTTTCTCCTCGATATCCATCCATGCAGTTACAGATATATCCTTGAGATTGATCCACACACTGGCCTCCGTTCTTACAAGGACTCGATTGACAGTAGTCGATGTCTAAAGACAAATAAGTACAACTTTTAACACCGTATAGTTGTTTGACTGCTTCACTCAAACTAAAACTTATATCAGATTTTCCTTAAGCGGACAATCTAAGGACCACCTCTCATTACATTGCATGTAATTGGACAAATTAAATCAAGCAAAGAAGTACGGTATAGATAGTTTTTCACTTTGACTTACACTTGAGAAACAATCAGAGAGTATGTTTGGGTTACTCTTCTCTTGTAGAAGACCCTTTGTTTGTTTCATGAGGTGCATAACTCAGACGTCATAAATTACAACAACTCTAAAACTGCATTGGCTACGCTTAGAAAGCGAATCGATCTGAGGTGTTAAATCATTTGAAATTGGAGCGTAGCTTCAACAATGTTGGGAGGATGAAACAGGTGCAAATAATGGAAACTTCCAATGGTTCCAGACCATTTATCGTTGAAATCTGAAGCGCATTGCAACGTTGCTCCCAAACATGAAGTCGTCCTTAGTGTAGTATGGACAACCAGGAAAAAGAGTTCTTCCATGGAACCTCGTTTGGAGAGTAAGGAAATTGGTGGCATCACTTTTGTTAACACTGAGCTTGTGAGAGAACAAGTCCACAGGCGTCGTTGTGCAAAAGAGAATTGGCAGAGCCAAGATCGTTCGTAAGGAACTAAACAGGCGGGTACCACCCTAAGGAACTACTAAGCTGTTGGCGGTAAATGATCTTCCAAGATAAAAAGATAGTTACAAGTCAGAAACATTTCAAACCTTTATCACAGTTTTTCCCACCCCATCCTGCCGGACACGGCTGACAACTGTAACCATCTTGAGTAATCTTACAACTGGCTCCATTCTTACAAGGAGATGACGCACATTCGTCAACTGTTGCGAAAGAAAAGTTTCGCGAATGTTAACAAGTATCCGACATCGCAAAACAACCTATCAAATCTTATCATCACAAGGAGGTGTAAAAGAGTAAGTAGTCGCAACTCCTCAGATAGGAGTTGGAAGAGTAACTAAACGCTGTCGACAAAAAACGAGAAACCTTCTGTCTTGTTGTATTCTTTTTTTCTCGAATTAGGTTATAATTGGTGGAGGAAAAGCGAGCCTACATTGGAAACAAGGGGGAACAACGTTTTTGCTTTGCCATAATCATAGTGCAACATTACATTATCAAGCAGACATCAAGCAAATTTGAAATGGAAGTTTCTATTTAGACCCTCTGAGACTACAGATAATTTCAGATCCCTAACCGAAAGAAAACATCCCGAAAGATTATGCTCGTCGTACCAACTGCTTTAATTCCGTCAAGGATGCGGCTTGGACTAAATCGGTAAATTGGTTTCTTGGTAGGACTTGTCTCTCGTCAAGATATGATTATCTCGAATGTGTGTTTTTTTTATCAAAATTCTTAACACTTTCGCCTTAGAGTATACCCAATCCAGCCTGATGGTTTCTTAGTAACATTTCTTGAAAAGTGTTATACTTTCCTACTTTGAAATAGTTGTATCTTTATTCTTTAAATCGAATCGTAATAGTGCACCCTATTTAAAAACTGGCTTTTCTAAATGATAATCGTACAATAAGTTCTGTTATTGTTTTAAAATTTGTGATTTTTATTCCTTACCGCAGTTAGCCCATTGACCTTTGTAAACTTTGTCAAATGAACACCACAATCGGCTATGAGCCACCTTGGTACAAGAGTTATAAGTTTTCCCACCATACTCAAAAGGAAAAACACAGCAACGGCCTTTAGCATCGTCTGTCTTCTTGCCAGGTGGACAAGGCAGCCCTGTAGAAGAATTATGTTATGTTTTGTGTAAAATAATGTACAACTTCACAAAAAGATTATGTTACGATAACAGATGTACTGATTAAATTTACTCACGTTTTTCGCAGGTGTCTCCTTCAAACTCCTCAGTGCATGTGCAAGAGAATGAGTCAGGACCCGTCATTGTGCATGTTCCACCATTTTTGCATGGAAGTGATTTACAAGGGCTCACTGAGGGAATGAAACATTATGGTAGGCACATTTGTCTTTGACTGCACGAAATGTTTTCTGAAACAAATTTGTCATGTCTGTACCTTTTTCACAAGAGTGTCCGTAATATCCGTCGGCACATTTACAGCTGTAAGAGTCATCTCCAGTTACTGTGCAGACTCCTCCATTTTGACAAGGGTTGTTTGTACATGGGTTGACTGTGATTGACAGAGAAGCATTTTATATGGTGGGGTGACACTCTTTAGATGAATGGGTGTTCTTTTTAAACAGAGGTGCTGAAGGGAGATATTGTCAATATTATGACTAGTAATCGTTGAATGCTATATTTTTTTTCTTACAGCTGGCCATTTTTAGTATAAAATTATCGTATAAAAAAAAAACTTCTTCACGTGTCCAAAATTGCTAAGCTAATTATTTTAATTCCTTACCGCAGTTAGCCCATTGCCCTTTGTAAACTTTGTTAAGTGAACACCACAGTCTACTATGAGCCACCTTGGTACAAGAGTCGTAAGTTCTCCCTCCATACTCAAATGGAAAAGCACAGCAACGGCCTTGCGAATCGTCTGTCTTCTTATCAGGATCACACTCACTCATAACTTTATGAAGAAAAGATGTAAGAAACTATTTTTGAGATCTTACTGTGGACTGTCTTGGTATATTTACTGAGCTTCGTGATGTCTCTTAGAACTATTTTAAATAGAGCTTCGGTAGTGTTTCTCATTATAAAATATTTTGGGTTTCCATAAAAATTACCGTTGCTGAGGCAATGTGTAATGGTTTTGGAATTTTTAGTGTCTTTCAATCTTGCTACATTCTGAGGTTATCCTTTTATTACAACAACCAACAAAGTCTTCTCGTCTCTTTTCTTACTGGACTGCTAAATAGTTCATATTTGTGGGACGATTTCACGACCGTGTGAGGTCTGCATATCATGTGGTATGAAAAAAAACCAAAGCTTTTTTTACTGAATTACACTTGGTGATCATAAAGAGAAAATTTAGAAACTCTTTGCAAAACAATCCATTTCCAAGCCGCGATAATAATTTCAGTGCCCTCCGCCCTTGTCAGGCTATTCTCTATTATTAATCTTTATGACAGTGCGCTTTAACATTTCAAACAACACTTGGCATGCGACGTTTGTATCCTCAATGTCTTTCATACCCTCTTAGCATATGTTCTTGAGTTTGAAAACAAGCAAAAAGTACTCACCACAAAAAATATTCATGCTCAAAACGAGCAGCGTGAAGATACATGTAGCGAATGACTTCATATTTTCTTGTGTTAGCGCTTAATTAAAGCTGAAATCTTGAGGGAATAAAACTGCGTCAGTTGTTTTTTTTTTCTCAATATAAATTAATGAACTCCCAGTCGCCATTTATATCATTGTTTTGTTGGCAAGTATTTCATTGGAAGGTAAAGTGAAACTCTTTGCACATCTCATTGCTTAATTGAACAATCCTGCCACCACATGTTTAAGCAGATGATATTTGCCCAGTGTATCCCACTAATTCCAGGACTAAACTTTTAGCGGAGCTCAAGTGTACAAAACAGGGACCCTAATGCGAAAGAAAACATGGTACCCCATGAACTCGTACCTCAGTCAAAGACTAATTTGGTCGATCAGAAGTATCAAATGCGTATAGTTGTTCATTTGTGATATGCTTATAAAAGTGTTTTGGTAAGTGTTTTGACACCAAAAGTTTGATCTTCCAAACATCAGTTAGCTAGAATTACGGTGGCTCTCAAGGGCCATCCACCTACAAAAATTTTCATGACTTTATCGCGCGATAAGTTTTGCTAAGTCCATTCATTCAAAAAATTTGCGATCAACATTATCGCGCGATAGATAAACTTATCGCGCGATAGAACAACTTATCGCGCGAGAGAACTACTTATCGCGCGATAGAACAACTTATTGCACGATAGAGTGTTCTATCGGGCGATAGAGTGTTCTATCGCCCGATAGAACAACTTATCGCGCGATAGATCAACTTATCCCGCGATAGATAATATTATCGCGCGATAATTTTATTACTAGCTCCCATAGCCCCACGACCATTAGAACGTGGTCACATCTATAGCAAGATGGCGGACCAAGTTTCGAAGGTGAGTAATTGTCCACGAAATAAAGACTTTTATTCTAGATTTTTGAGCAAGAGACAGTAATCTTTGGATTAAATTAAATTATGTTTCTATGCTATCTTAGTAAGTGGGGTTAAAGATATGAGAGGGACTTTATTGCTCTATATTTGAAAGATTGTTTATGAATACAAGGTGTAGGGATACGTTTTTAAACTATATAAGGTGTATAAGGTGAACGATTGTTTATGAATATAAGGCGTAGAAAGCATAGAAATATAATTTAATTTAACCCAAAGACTACCGTCTCTTGCTCGAAAATCAAGAATGAAAGTCTTTATTCCTTGGACAATTACTCACGTTCGAAACTTGGTCCGCCATCTTGCTATGGATGTGACCACGTGCTAGTGGTCGTGGGGCCATGGGAGCTAGTAATAAAATCATCGCGGGATAATATTATCTATCGAGCGATAAGTTGTTCTATCGCGCGATAAGTTGTTCTATCGCGCGATAAGTTGTTCTATCGCGCGATAAGTAGTTCTAA